ACTGCCAAAAATTATGGTAATGGGGCCAAACAGATCCATCACAGAGACCAAATGGTGTGAACCTGTGCCTTCAGCAAGACTGGCATGGAGAGATTTTGTTTGTCATGCAGGACAAAGTACAGCCACCCACCAGCAGCCTACAACAATATTGCCAAGGCAGGGCAAAGGCAAGCAGGAGGAAAGCTGCATTGCCACAGAGTTCCACCAGAACAGTACAAAACCACTTCAGATACATATTCAGCATGTTTCCTGGCTTTGCTTTGGCCAGTTTTAAGTATTTTAACCCTTCAAACTAAACTGTGACAATATTAATACAAGCACCACTGCCTACTCCCATTTGCCTACACCATCCACACTAAACAGTGTGCATTAGATGCAGGAGAAATAGCCAGGTTTCCAAAGCTGCAATTTACTCAGCCTATAGAAATACATACCATTATAGATGCATTATATACATTATACTTTGCACTGAGCATTACACCACTGAAGAGGAGCTTGAATTTTCAGCTGGTAGATACAATAATTTTAAATATCTGGCTACTGTATTGAACAAGTGTGTGAATTACTGCCTGTAAAAGTTTCATGTTCTAGGAAAAGCTGCCAAAAAAGGAGCTGCAATGCTACACTTTTAACTCCAAACCAGGGCCTGAACCTTTGTACTCTTTCCCTCGGTCTCCTCAGGATGCTGAACTGCAGCCTAGTTTTAACATTGTACCCCATGGCTACATGGGCTTGTTCTTTCTGTGACACTTTACGAAACATTTGTCTGAACCACAACAACAACACTTTGCCCTACACCACTGTTGTAATCACATCTAGAAATAGGCTTATGGTTTCTCTGATAAAAACAGTTTTTTAGAAAGCCATATTAACAACTCCTTTCTGCTCTTGCTAATCCCTAAAGATAACCTACCATACAAGCAAAAATCTCCAAGGTTATACTCTGCATACAAAGGTGTATTCTCACTTATTTCAGAGATTTCTGTTCTTTGTAAGAAGTTTGGTGTAACACCTTCAGCCTCTGAACGTTGGTGTTCAAATTTTCACAGCAAAGTTAACTTGGTCTTGTTGGTTTGGTTGTAAATTGATACAAGCATATATGTGCACACAGAACAGGTTTAGAAAAGCAAAGACTGGAGTGTGAGGGCCACCCACAGGAAACAGGGGCTGTGGAACCCTGACTTCAATGTTTTCTAATTTAAAATGTATTTTTGAATAGAACTCCTCCAAACGAGCAGTCAAACTTCTGCAGTCAGCCTGCACAGCTCCCTGCCAGAGACCTGCATTTGTACAAAGACACTTCCATGGGCAGGGAGGCAGCTGCCAGCAATGACAACCCAGTGCTGATGGTGCAGCAAAATGCTTTTGTCTTCACAAAGTGCTACTTTTATGCCTCTTTCTATATATCCAGGGTGACATGCAAAGGAAAGTGGGAGAAAACCTGTCCATGATTAACTTCAAAGGGTCCCATGAAATGCATTCCTTCCTCTACTGTATTTTCTTCTGCAAGCAGACATTTGAAAAGAAGGAAGTGCCCATATTTCTTAAGGAAGTAGTCTGTAAGAAGTTAATATCCTCAGTACATCAGCCAGGAAAAAAATCATACACTGCATTCACAGAAAACTTTTCAGGCTCTAAAGCAGACACAAGGTTAATTTGGTTACATACAACTTGAAAATTATTGCTCTAAGTTTTATTTATGTTAATTGGTTGGATCACTTAAGACAGATCTGCACTTTTTAAGTAGAGGGAATAAAAGTTGTAATTGTCTCTACCAGCATTATTTGACTTCATCTGTAGGCCATCATCAACCTACATCTGTAGCCACCTACCATCTGTAGCCACAGCAACCCTACACAATTAATTTCTTATAACATACTATGACTTCTTTTGGACAGCAATGATTCTAGGAAAAAAATCCATATGAAAAACTGCTGACTAAACTCAGCTGTCTATAAACAATACTGGACTGAGCCATCAGCTTGCAATATTTCAAAATTTAACTCTGTTCTGCAGCATTTTGTCCTGCAGCCAACATTAATGTGATGCCTTGAAAATGCCATAGCCCTGCCTTTCTAGCCCCATTACTTCCCTCTGCTATAGCAGCCACTCCCTGATTCTTACCTGATTCTGCCTTCCTAAAAAGACACGGGCTTGTTCTCAGTGTCAAGGGTAAAACAACAACTGCTTAACTTTCCCTTGGAACACTAGAACCATCTTGCCATCTGCATGGGAAAATGATCCATTTGGTTGGTGAGAAATCAGAGAAACCCCAGTTTTACACTGGCTTTAACGAGATGAGAATTTGATCTACAAAGCAATTTGCTGAGACCTGCTCCATGAGAGCAGAAAAGCTGAGGAGATGAAACTCTATCAGGCTGTTTGGTGCTCCCCAGGCAGCGGGCAGCCCCCCGAGCAGGGCTGGTACCAGGCTGTGCCTGGCTCCCAGCCCTGGCACGGCTCCCACGGGCACAGAGCTCTGCTTGGCACAGCCGGGCTCAGGACAGAGCCAGAGAGCAGAGAGGCCCTGTCAGAGTGGGGCAAGGTGTTAAAGGTAAGGAGGTGTTACATTTAGTATTTATGTGTTCTGTGGGGCCAGTGGTTGTTCCCCCAGGACAACACACACACGTCACAGCTCTGTGTGACAAACAGCCTGGAGTTTATTCCTGCAGCTCCTTCTACAGGAGCTCCAGTTACTCGTGTGATTGCTTGGGGTCTTATCCCATCCAGCTCCCTGGGCACCAACATTTAGAACTGCATGATCCTGGCTGAGTCCTGTGCAGATGGATCCAACCCATCCTGCCTACTCCAGTGCCACAAGGAAGGGATCCTGGAGCAACCTCAGCTCCCTGCCAGTGCTCCTGGAACCTTGCAGCTCTCCTCACTGCTCTGAAGCTGCAGGGAATGAGCAGCCCTGCAGCATCAGAGAACAAGGGACCAGTACAAGGAGGAGCAGCTTCATTCACCAAATTCCTTTCCTATGTACTCCAAGCTGGCTGCCTTTTCCAAACTGGAGGCAACCTCCTCAACACAGACATTTTAGATAAAAATTCACAATATCTACCACTACAGTCCCAAAATTAGACAGTACCAGGGTGTTTATTCAACCATAGCAATTTCCAACTTTTTCTGCTTTGTGGCTGCCACATTTTCACCCCCCAAGGCTTATAAACTCCTATCTCCTCAAAACTCTGCTGTAATATCTAAACTTTTGGCTACTTCTGTCTCCTTGGTCTCCTGAAGAAAGCAGAAGAGTTTGTCAGCTAAAATGTTTTGCTGCCTCCATCTTTTCTCCCTGCTATCTGGAAACTGTTGGTCAAGAGCATAATCAGCAGTAGGATGGAATGGCTAAATGATCAGGGATGTAATTGCCAGTCTTTTGGGGTAACTGCTGGTTCTTTAATTAACTTTCTATAAGATTTCAGACAAGATGCACTTTCTGAACCTTGTTTTTTCAGCAAATTGAATATATCTAAGGATTTGCTACACCCTTATTTACTACTTGTTGGTTTCTAAAATTCAATTTTCAATAGAAGTAGGAAAATTCTAGGCTTAAAACCTGCACAAATCCAGGTCTGAGCAAACTGATTTGTCTTCTACAGGAAATACAAGATTTTCCCCCAAAAGGGCAGTTGTAATGACTTCAGCAAGGAGCTCTTGCAGCTGTGTGTGTCAGTGCAGTGGGCAGAGTGTGCTGCCTGAGTAGTCCATCCAGGTGCAGCTGCAGTGCTCCACCATTCCCAGGACAAACACGGCTTTGGAGGCACAAACTGAAGCTGGCTCTTGCTCTCAGGCTTCACAAGTCACAGAAAGGGAAATGTGGTCAAATGCCTTCTGGTCTAGACAGGAGATTTCCTCATGTAAAACAGCTAAGTGATGAGACATTTCTAATTGAATTCAGGGGATCAGGAGAAAGTTCATAATCACATCAAACTATCTGGACATGTTCATTTATGTAGGAATATACTGGGTTTATTGCATAATCTGGTTAATCTTCTAAGAATTTTTATGTAATATATTTTGCATTCTCAGTTACACCAGCCAGAAATCTATCCAAGTTTAATCTGATGTTAATTACTCTGAAAATATTTCCCTTTCTTCCTAATTTTCTCTTTTAGTTGGTATAGATTTCTTCATTTAATTACAAACTAAAATATACAGCATTCATTTCTATAATTAGCGGGTGACTAATATTTGAACACAAAAACCTAAAAAAATTGGTATGTTTTAATGATTTCTTTTGGTCAACAGTGTGCAAGAGTATAATTTTTTTTGACAGGGACTTAGAGGAATTACGTGCTTGATTTCTTTTGCTGCCTGTAAAAAAACTCAGTGTCATTACACTGTGCAGACTCACAATGTCACCTGTGTCTGCAAACCAAATTCAGTTTCATGATGTCCTAGCTTTACTTAGGCTTTTTTATTTTCACTTGTAGAATTAGTCTAAAAGTGTCAGTGGCTGCAAATACGCCAGTCTACAATACCTTTTTCTTGACCTAGAGATGGGGCAACTGGGAGGCTTTTTAAAAACGTTTATCCCATTTTCAGTCTCATGTGAAGGGTGAGACAATACAGATATTACAATTCACACCACCACAATCAGAAGCTATTTGCTAATTACATTCTAAGTGGTTCTTGGCCTATCAGCTTTTTGTCACACCATGCTGTAAATGCCTTAAAGCCAATAATTTAAATAAGCCCCTCGTGGCACCTACTACAATGCATCTTTCATAGCTCTATTTCTCCAAAGTATCTAGTGTTATTTGTAAGGCCACCTTTTGAAACTTGTTTCTAGCTCCATTTCTCTCTCAGCAATACCTGCCCTATTCCACAGCATCTCTAAGTCAGCATTTGTTATCTCAAAGTTTGCATAGAGATGCACACCGTGTGGGCCTTCTGTCAGGCCCTGACAGCTCTCTACAGACGATGTCCTGGCATGTCCCCCAGGCCAGGCCAGGGCAGTTTTGGTCAGAGCTGTGTCCCTGTCCCTGTCCCTGCAGGAATACCGCATTTCCAGCTTTGAGCAGCGGCTGATGAACGAAATCGAGTTCCGCCTCGAGCGGACCCCGGTGGATGAGTCGGACGACGAAGTCCAACACGAGGAGATCCCCACAGGCAAATACATTGCTCCCATCTTTGATAAGAGACTCAAGCATTTTCGGGTAATGGAAGGATTCCCTATCACATTCACCTGCAAAATAGTTGGAATACCTGTTCCCAAGGTAGGTCGTTCTCACTGTAACTGCTAAAGGAACAAAACCCAACTCCCCACCAGTTTCTGTTCATCCCTCCTAGGCACATGGCTCTGTGGAGAGCTCCCAAATGAATAATTCCCCCACCTTTCTAAAATAATAGTATCTGCTTCTGAGCATGCATCAGGCCTTGAGGTCCAACCACCTGGCTCCAGGAGACCCAGAGCTGCACAATCCCCAGAACCTCCCAGAAAGATGAGAACTGATCTAACCAGGAACGTGCCTAGAGCCAGGGAAAGAGAACCTGACAGGCCCAGCTATGACATGCAGCTTCCTGAGCTCAGCCTGGAATCATTCTCTTTCACATTATAACTGACCTGCAAAGTTTATAATATTCTAAAATTGCATTAGCTATTGCTCAACTCATGTTATTTTTCTAGTTACTGTTAAGTCACAGGGGGTGTCTGATCACCACAGGTCTACTGGTTCAAGGATGGCAAGCAGATTTCAAAGAAAAACACGCATTTCAAAATGAACAGAGAAGAAGATGGAACATGTTCTTTACATATTGAAGCTGCTACTAATGATGATGATGGCAACTATACGATTATGGCTGCAAACCCACAAGTAAGGGGTTTTATTTTGTTTTACAAAAATGCTTGATTTATCTTTTTCTAATATGCATTAATAGGAACACAAATTAGGCCACATGCTTTGACATCGAGTGGTGACAATATCACAAATCTCTCTCACAAAGCATCTCCTATGCTTTAGAGCATAGGAGAGGAAACCATGTAAAGATGACTGATGAAACTACTCCCCTGTTACACAGACAGTCAAAAGCACTAAGGACATTTTCCCATGTTGGTAATTCCTGCCCTGTCTCCTTCCCACTCTGTTACTGATAGGTACCTTTTGAGATGTGCTGACAAGACAGACATGATGTTTCAGGCAGAAAGAATAGAGCAGGAACAAACAAATAGTTAACACTAAATTTCAAACTGTTACTGAACACAATTATATTCTTTATCCAGGATGCAAAGATATGGATCTGCAAATAGTCTCATTCCCTTACACCATTCTCCCTGACCCCATGTGCTAGCTTAGCTGTTTATTTAGAAGTACATTCATCAGGCAACTTAAATTTAGTTTAAATGTTTCTCTTTTTTGAAATTATTTTTCTGTTCAGTTTCTATATGGTGCATTTTAAAGTAGTCCAGTACAAAGGCACTAGCAGACAGTACCTGTGGCATGAATAAATAAGCAGAGACAGGCACTGCCAAATGCATTGCCACAGCCTGGAAGAGTTTGAGAAACCCCTGCCTCAACTGCAGGCTAACAGCATTTGCTTTGGGGAAGTGGTACTCTCACTGTAGTTCAGCTACTTTATAAAAATAAATCCTAATGCACTGTAAGGTTCAATATTTGTACTTTTAATTAAACAAGCCATTAACCAACTATTAATTCTGTTTCCATTGTGAATTGCAGGGGAGGATCAGTTGTTCAGGACACCTGATGGTTCAGAGTGTCCCTTTTCGGGGACGAATATCCACAACTCAGCCTCACAGGTGAAAGAAAAATGTCCTGCAGACCTTCTTTATGCTTTTTACTGAAGGCATCCAAAATAACCACTGCATTCATTGAACTTCAGTTCTCAATCATATAATGGAAATAACAGCAGCAGTTCCTTCCCAACAGGTCACTTCTATGTTTTTGAAGGGCACCCTGAAATACAGGGAAGTTTAAGTACAATTTCATTTACTTGTTGTAGTGGAGCTAAAGGCAAGGGGTGGATTAGCAAAATGAAATTCAGAAAAAAAAAAAACAAAAAGAAGCAAAGGCTGGCTTGGGAATCTAAGGCTACTACATGATATAGTTAACTTGATAGTCTTTCTAAAGGGAAAATCTGCAAGAATTAAATTCCAAACAGTCCATTTCTTTCTGCCCTTTTATTTAACTCAAGCTCTCTCTCTATCCTTTTCCTCAATTTCTTTTTTTTTTTTTTTTTTTTTTTAAGCATTAGCGGAAAAACAATTGACTTCCAACCACACACATGTGATTTTTGCATTGCAGAACACGACCCCGGGTGCCAGAAGGGGACAAAGAGGCAGTCCAAGAACGCTTTTTCAGGCCATACTTCCTGCAGGCTCCAGGTGACATGGTGGCACATGAAGGGCGACTCTGTAGGTTGGATTGTAAGGTATTAACTGGTTCTTCTGTTCCCTCTCACTTTCCCTACCTCTGTACATGTAGTGCTATGTATTTTTGTGTTCTTTATTGCATGCATGAGCACTTTCCATTCAAAGTTTTAATGCTCCATTTTTAAAACTATTTCTTAATGCCATTGTCTCTGAGCTGATTCCAGGGATTTCTTTTGAACAAATATTCTATGGATGAAGAACACAGAAAACACAGCCCAGAAACAGAAGGCTCACTTACAAGGTTGTTCAAATTACTAGATGTGTTCACTGTGTCCTTTACCAGTATGAACTCCAGAAGTTCTGCTCCATTACCAAACTCTTGAATATAATCCAGTATAGCACAAAACCATGAGAAAGAGAGGATGCAGTACGTTGCTTTGTGTTCAAACAAATTTTCCCATTGTATGGGACTGAATTACTAATGATTAATACTCCCTGAAAAGAGGGAACTGAACCTAGCTCATTTTGTGCTTCCCCAGCATGCACAGAGGTAGAAACATCCCCATTTACTGATTGAGATCCACAGTCCTGGCATGAAAGAGTTGTCAGAGGTTAGAGTACACAGAGAGAACATCCTGTTATTGAACACCTTTAGGAGAATCATCTGCTCCGACCTATTCTGGAACCCCTCTGTGTCCCTGCAGTGCAGCAAAGGTGGCAGGGCTGACACTGACCCTGAAGAGGGAGAAGCTCTGAGGCACAAGTTAATGCCCTGAAGATGAGCAAGACTCATTACTACTTAATTTATGATGTAAAGTTTACAAGGAGCATGCCAAAGAATTTGGTTATTCCTAGCTCTGCTATCCTGGCAGAGCTTGTGAGGCCTTAAAGCATGTGTGGCATTGCACAGACCTGGGAGAGAGCAGTCCTCACTCAGACAAGTTCCACTTCCCTCTTTGCTTTCTAAAATGTTGGTTGGAAAGCAGTATTTTAGACATGAGTAAGTACTGCTCCCTATTGAAAAGATTTTTAATACTACAATGCAGTCTAATCTTTCAAAAATACTTAATTTGTAAAGTTATAAAGCATGCAAGTTCAACAGCTATGAAGTTTTATATCATTCTTCATAAAATTTTACAAAATACAAAGTTATTTGTATGGAACTTTTTTCATCTCTGTTAAACTCTGTAGTATTTTACATCAAGGAATTTGATTTCTATTCAGCACCAAAAAAAGGAAAACTAGCAGATTATTAAGAGTCTTTCGTGAATCTCATATTCTAATTTCATATTTCAAACTAAGTTTCTTCCTTTCTGACTAAGAAAAATGTAGATATTTAATGTATTTTTAAATCTTTTTACTTGTTTGTTTTCTGGGTTTCTCCCTTTTGGAAGCAGTCAGCAGAGAAACAAAAACTGAGAAATAATTTTTTTTTGAAAGAAATCTTTCTGGTCTAGATTTTGACATGATTCAGCTGGCATTTGTAAGGAGGCCTGGCTCTGCATTTCCTAACCTCTCTGTGCCAGTGGGACACTTGTCTGGAGCTGTTTCCCTGTCTCCTAGGTGAGTGGGTTACCAACTCCTGACCTGACGTGGCTCCTGAATGGCAAAGCTGTGCTGCCGGATGGCAGGCACAAGATGCTGGTCAGAGAGACTGGAGTGCACTCTCTGCTCATCGACCCTCTCTCCCTGAGTGATGCTGGCACTTACACCTGCCTTGCCACTAACAAAACAGGACAAAATTCATTCAGTCTGGAGCTCACCGTTGTAGGTAAGAAGCACTGAAAAACTCACCTCAGTGATGAAGTTACCTGTATGCATTTTTTCACACTTACCTTACATAGTTTCCCTACAGACAATTATAGATAAATAGTTCATGCACTGAGAGCAGGAAAATCCCACAGCTGTAGATGCAGACATGTAATTTTTACATATATATTTCCCTCCCCAGCTGATGGAGGGAAATGTGCTCAGATGAGTGCACTCCTGTTACTAAGAGAATGCTGTAAGAATTCTGCCTCATCATCACCCATCCTCACTTTCTCCCCAGAAAATGCTTATGGTTTGAATTCATAATATATATGTTGAGGTATTTCAGCCCAAATTTTATTGTTTAAAATGTTTTTAAATAAATAAATTTAATCTCTTTAATAAATCCTTAAAATATGTGAGATATTGAAATGTATAGATCTGGCATTAATTTTCTGCAATGGTAGTATGTTTAGACCCATTATACATGCATATATTCTTTTATGAACTTCAGTCCTGCCTATTATTTATTTACATCCCTTTACAGAGGCTATGTCATGGCATTTCACTTCCCTTCCAACATCCCACTAAAAATTCACTATTTTGGTATCACAAGAATAATTTTTCTTGTGTTCTTCCATACTATTCAAAGAGAAACAAAGAATAAAATATCTGTTGTTGAATAATTCTTTTTCCAGCAAAGGAAGTCAAAAGAGCGCCCATGTTTCTGGAGAAGCTTCAGAACTGTGGTGTTCCAGAAGGCTACCCTGTCAGATTAGAGTGCAGAGTTGTGGGAATGCCACCTCCCATATTTTACTGGAAGAAGGACAACGAGACCATCCCATCAAACAGAGAGAGGATGAGGTATTGTAACACCCATGCCTGAGTTTCCTGTGCCTGGACCAGCTGCTTCCATGAAAACCTCTGTGCTGAGTACAATTTGTGGTGCTTTGTAACAATTTCTTTCACCCCCAAAAAGCTGTAGAAACCTTGCCTCCCTGTGGGGTGCAGAGTGGCTGTTTCCTTGGTTCAGAACAAAGCCACAATGCACCCCTGCTTCAGAGAGGGGGGACAGAGCCTGTGGGCCTGGCAAAGTGTATGGATCTCCCTATCAAACATGCCCTGAGGTGGTGTTTTAGTGCATTTCAGACCTTATTCGGATCTCCCTATCAAACGTGCCCTGAGGTGGTGTTTTAGTGCATTTCAGCACCTCATTCTCTAAGCTATGTCTTCACAGTTTAGTTCCAACTGGGTATGAATTCAATTTCAGAATAGTTTTAGTGCCCCAGAGTATGGGATAATAGAGAATTTGTCATGTCAAATAAAGAAACTTAACAAAGTTGGTCACAAAGGTAAAGCCTTTGATCCATGCTTGAAAAATACAACAAAGTTCAGGTTCAGCTCTTGCAGTCAAATGCAGCCCTATTTTTTAATTTTTGTAAAAGAAAAACTGATTAAACAATGTGCCTGTAATTAATGATAAACAAAGTGCTTTCTTTTTTTTTAAGATTTCTACTTCAGCATATATCTGATTTTTAGCATTTTATTTCGCTTGGTTCCAAGTAACAGCTCAATGCAGTCACTGGATCTTTGAGATCAGCTCCAAGAAGTCCCAGCCCTTCCCACACACACCTGCAGGCTCTGAGTGCAGAAAGCTGGCTCTGCAGCAGCACTGTTAGGGATGGACACCAAGCACAAGGGAAAGCATTCTCAGAAAACTCTTTTAGTGGTCACCCTGTCCCCACCCAGAGTCTGCTGTCTCCCTCCAAAACCCCACCTAACCCTGACCTTCTGCAGCCCATAGTTTATATGGTTTGGGCCCAGTCCTGTTTAATATCTTTATAGATAATCTGGAGAACTGAGTCTGCCATTAGCAAATTCATGGATTACACCATATAGATGTTCCTATTTCACAGGGATCGTGGTTCTACACACACACACACACATTGTAGTTACTGGGAAATCAACAACTCTCCTAAAATACCACATTTCCAGCTGTTTCACAAAAGGTTAGAAAACAAATTTTCTTCAGCTCAGGAGAGGAATGGCTAAGGGAAACCTCCCACACCCTACAGTACCAGGAGCAAGCATAAGGGGTGTGACAGCTCTGCTATTGCAGCCAGCTGAGAGCAGAAACCCCAAAGGCTTCCAGTGGCTCTGCACAGACCCACGGGCAGCACCATCCCTGCTCGTCCCTATCTCACCTCACTGCTTCCTGCCTGAAGCCAAGAGAGGCTTTTGTAGCACAACAAGGACACAGAGCAGCTCCTACACCACTGCACCCCCAACACATGGCAAATTGTGTAGTGCAGGGAACAAAGGGTGAAATGTTCCTTTTTTTTATTAGAGCACAAAATGTCCTCTTGTCCTGTAAGCCTGTGGTTTCATTCCAGTTCATATGGAAACAAAATCTCAGATTTCAGAACATCCTGGAACTTCAAGTGTTCTGAAGTGCTCATCTCGCTCCTCTTCCTTTGTAATGAGAGAAACACTCGGGTTAATAAAACAGACCAGCCTCAGCCTAGAGAGCAGAGGAGTCTCAGTTCTGTCATATCCTGCTGGAAAGTTTTTCCTGGAAGTTGCAGCCACAAAGTCTTAGATCACTGGAGAGCAAAGGAAGTGGAGGGAACCATGCAGCAGGTTTCTTTCAGAGTGCTGAACAAATTTGCAGAACAAATCTTTCTGATCTTCCCACTTGGTCACTTTCTCATGGAAAAGGGTGCCCCAAGAAAGTTTTTGACTGGCTCTGGTAGCTGTTGTGAAAAATATCACAACTTTGTACAAGTGCTCTTGGTATTTTATGTTCTTGCTCCAGCTCCTGAATTAGGAAAAATACAGTATGATTGTGCAGCAGCTTTGCACAGGTTTAGCTCATTAGTATTCAATAAATAATGTGAATATTAACATATACAGAGGAACAACTCTGCTCCCACAGTCATACCATGGCTGTGCACAACTGAGAGGAGCCAGAACAGATCTGAGATTTCCTGATCATTGTTTGAAAGCAAATCTATTGACTATAGACTGCTACCTCTTTGTGAGTAGAGACGACAACGTACCTGTTTCATATTTAATATACATATTTTAAAATCTGAAAGCTGATGTGCTCTTGAGAAATACTAATTCCCAAACACTTGTTTTCCAGCATGCATCAAGATACAACAGGGTATGTCTGCCTCCTGATCCAACCTGCCAAGAAAGCAGATGCTGGCTGGTACACCTTGTCTGCAAAGAATGAAGCTGGCATTGTCTCCTGTACTGCTCGACTTGACATATATGGTAGGTATTGCCTGGGAAAGAAGGAAAAGGCAGGGCCCCAACTGCTTCTTAGTCTGGCTGTGATATGGTTAGAGATCAGTGTCACAGCGTGGCCACAGCTTCATAAGCCCCAGAAGAGATAAAATGATACAGCTAAATGGCCAAACCAGCCCTGCTGCACCGCTGTAAAGGAGGGTAAGGACAAAAAGCCAAAGCCAAAAAGCCAAAGCAGGGATTTGCACAATGTTCTCTACTCCCAGTTAAGGTTCATGTTGAACCTTAACTCTACTACCTCCTGTAACAAGTCTGTGCAACAGCCCTGACCTGGCAGAGCAAAGAATTGCACACAAGAAAGAAGAACCCTTCTTCCACAGAGCATGCGGGTGCAAACCAAGCCTAGCTGATGGGGGCTACTTTACATCCAATACCTTTGTCTAGGACTCAGAAGACCCCAGCCCACCTCAAGAACTACAGCACATCATTAATCTGCCATCTCTGCAAGATGAAATAGAAAAAGCAGAGTATTTTGATCACTTAAGCAGCATAATAAAACAGAAAGCATGTTCCACAAACTGGAGAACATATATCTATATATATATCTATCTATATATATATATATATATATGTACATACACACACACACACACACACACACATATATATATATGTATGTTCCACAAATTGGTTGGATTAGAACCAGACCCTTAAGAGAAAAAAAGAGCCCATGTTTTCAAACTCGTATGTCCATTTTGGTTTTTAAACCCCACCCAATTATCAGAAATGAGTCACCAGTGCATCTCTGTCAGCCTCCTGCCACCTTGTGGTGGTATGGGCAATAGTAATGGAAGGCTCAGGAGAGGGCTAGGAGGAGGCTGATTTGAGAAAGGTCAAACAAAATTTCAAAATTCCTTAGGTATCTAAATGTTGAAAGACGTGAATTTTCAAATGAAGGATTCAAGGCACAAACAGGAAAAATACAGAATTTAAGAAATGCATCCCAAGTCAAATCATATTTTCTAATATATGTAACTCACACCCCAAAGTGAGTGAAAGAAGTAATTTTTGTTTGTGCTATTTTGAATGGGTAGGGTCGAGAGATTGAAGGTCTGGCCTGATAATTGCAATTCTGCATGCAAATAAAAATAATAATGAGTAAATAATGAGTTCAAATATAAACAAATTTGGTGCTGCAAGAAAAAAGGAAGCTCTTTTTAAAATATTTCCAAATAGGCTAAAAATTCAGCATGGAAAGACATTTCCTATCAATGCTTAACATGTAGGTTGTTGTCTCCCACACTAAAAACCTCAGAGCATTGGAGCCTGAACTTGACTTCCATTTTCATACCCTTTCATTTTAACTGCTGACGGATATGTCTGTAATTTGGATGCACACCCATATGGATAAACACTAGCAAAGATAATACATTTTTCCCTTGTCTGAAGTGCTTTAGGGATAGCAACTACTAGATATTATGTAACATAATATTTTTACGAAATTTTAGCAGTATTTGTTCATATGGGAGCATGTAGAATGGTGCTTTTAAATTACTGAATACGTGTCTTTGGAATATACTTATTTCAGTATTTTTTAAAAATCTATAAAACATGTTTAGTAATTGTAACTACTACATGGCAATAAAAATTGCAATCACTTTCTTGAAGAAAAATCATCCAGAGGGTGAAGCAGAACAGAATCAGAGCCCTGGCCGCTTTGTTCATCTCTGTTCATGCTATGTATGTTTTTAGTTCTGATTCCAAGGGCTGTGGAGAAGGCTCCAAAGATTTGATCATTAAATTTTGGACTTTGTGAAATCCATGCAAACATTGCCATTGAATTGAACAGGGATGAAACTTTATCTGTAGACTTCAATAGAACTGCTGAACATCCAAACAATACCAATGATAATATCTGAAAGAACAGACCCTAACCCAGAAAGCCCAACGCTGTGCTCTCTTCAGGGATGTTGGAAGCAATTTCCGGGTGTGTGGATTGATTTCCACCGGTTCTTTGTGACCCAAACTAGAGGTTTACAGAGCCCACTGTGTTTCTGTCGCTGCAGCTCAGTGGCACCGTCAAATTCCACAAGCGGTGAAGCTGCGCCCCGGGGGCAGCCGCTACACGAACCTCAGCAGCCAAGGACTCGACATCTTCCCCGCCTTCCCAGCTCCTGAGAGCCCCCTGCTCTTCTCAGCCCCAGCCCAAAAGTTGGTGGAGAGTGAAGAACTTTGAAAAACAAACACTTGTTCCAGTTGCACCTGCGGAGATACTTAGAACTGTGAAAAACTAAATAATAAAAACAAAAGAGGTACAACTCACGATGCTCAAGGTTTACAAGCAACTCGTTTGTAATTAAGTGTTCTGCTGCTGCAAATGCTGCAAGTAACATATCGTACAAGACTTTTGCATATGATTTTAATGCAGGATAATTGTGGTATGGAGTGTTGTGCAATAAATTCAGTACTGTGTAGTTTGCTAAGAATTACATAGTAAACATAGTTTTCAGCACCTAAAAGCCAATACCACTTTTACTTCTTGAATTAGAGCTACTGCACTGTAGCTGCCATGGTAAGGATTGATGATGATTAGCTGGAATACTGCCAGTGAAAACACTGACATTACAGTAACACCAATCCTGAATGAGGGTAAACAACAAGACTTTGAATGTAATTTTTAAAAAAACATGCCAAATAATCACAAAGCATAAGTTAAATGGAAAAGATGTAACTCATTTTTATATATGATTATTATGCCAGCCTATTCTAGAATTTTTGAACTCCAGGCTAGGTAATTATAGTATTTCATGTAGGTACAGCTGTATACCCTAAATATTTATATCTGTGTGTGTGTGTACTCTATGAACTGTGTATTCTTGGTGTAAGGGTTCATAAAATAAGATACAGAGCATATGCTTAAGGCACATAGGAAATGGAAATTCCTCTTGTCTGGAGCATGTTCTCTTGAGCCCATAGCTGAAACTATTTACCAGATGTGCTTCATATTTTTTTCTTTACCATGTTAGTGATCCTCTGACTTTAACATGGATGATACCAAACTTGTCACTCATGGCTTTTAAATATCAGTCTCTTTTTCCTAATTTTTAATGTGCATCTACCATCTAGCTCATTTTATAGCTAAATGGAAAGGAATTGACCTGGTACATTTTCACCCCCATTTAGGAAATGATCACAAGTGTAGTGTCTAATAGGAAGACAGAAAATCGTTAATATACAAAAGTTAAGAAGTTAAGCAACAGTTATATGTAAAAAGCTAAAAAACCCCAACAGCAGTAATAAATAAGGCAAATTAATGAAAGCTGAACAGAAGGTGTTAAGTGACAACACTTAATGATTGATTTAAATATATTTGGCATCTCTACAATTACATCAATAGCCCCAGCTGTAAGAATCTGTGGATGTTTAAGATGTTTCCCTGCATCTTCAAATTACTGCTAACCCTCTCTCTAGACACTGGTTTCAAGCACTTCTTACTTACTGCTTTCCACATGGCTGCAGAATGCCACAAAGCCATGATCAAAGTCACAGAGATAGAAAAAAATTTAACAGATACTTTCATATTAGATGATTGGGGATTCTTCAAATTTAAAATTTTAACTTTTAAAAACTCCATATGCAAAGAAAAAAGTGAAGAGTTATGTTAAGAGCAAAAGAATATTGGATATAGCCAGAGACTGAGAAAGAGAATGTCTTTCACTGAGCTTCCCACAAATAGAGCTTCTGTTGTTCCTAACACTGATTCCCTCAGGATTTAGAGGAAGTGAATTTCTTGTGTTGTTTTACTTCCCACCTGAGTGAACACCACAAAAAAAACCACATCATTATAACTCTTATACTTTTGTTAGGAATCTCAGGCAACTCAACCCAGACTGGACAGACCAGAAAGCTAAAACACAGTCTCATCCTAAGAGTTAAAATAAGGTACAGGCATTTCCAAGGGAAAGCAGATGTTGCCCACATTGTACCTCTTCCCTGGCAACCAAAATAAAACTCATGGCTATTCAGAGTGATGCATTGAGTTAAGTGACTTCAGTAATGAGATGCAGAACCTAAGACATAATGTGGGTCTGATCTTCAGGATAGAGAATCTACTGCTCCTTTTACCTTCATTTGGTTCTTAGAATGGCTTAAGGATTCCAAAACTACACCCAAAATTTCAAGCTTCCCACATTAGTTACTACTCTTGGAAAAATAATCCAAGAAAAGTTATTGGATTTTGCTTGCTTAATTCAGTGCTGTTGGGAAACGGAAAGGTAGGAAATTAAGACACAAAAGATCAAACTCACATCTACAGCCATGGTCTTCCCATCATTTCACAAACCAGAGAGTAGGTTTGTGAAATGAGAGTATTGGAGTAGAGAGAACTCCAGTATTCCAGGTTCTATACTGGCCATGAGGCTTTATCCCTCAGCACAGTCAAGAGATTGCCTGCTTGGAAGTCCCCTGTGGCCCCTTTTCCTGGCTGACATTGAGGGGTTGGCCCAGATGATCCCCTGACCTAAATCACTCCATGCTTCCTAAATTATTTTCTTTTCCAATACCTGTCTAGATGTCCTACCTGGATTAAGTTACCTGTCAGCTAAGTAGAAACTAAGAATTCAAGCAAGCACAAACTTTTCCTTTTTCCTGAAATCTAACCCATTAGACAAGCCCAGCTACAGGAGTTCTTCACACAGTGTAGAAGAAAGGAATGTTAGTACTCTCCACAGGCAAGTACATGGTTAGCATTGCTGGAATCATACTGACCAGTATTACTGACAGCAGCAGTGGTTTTCACATTTTACAGCATCAGACACCAAAAACTCAATGCAAATTGAAAGACAAAGTGCAAACATGCAAACCATCTGTCTTCACCTTTTCTCTGCAATACCAGAGGAGTGTCCCCAAACTGACATCATTATAACCTGAGCTGACATGCAGACCATCATGTGGTAAAATGTTTCTTTAAATGTCTATTCAGTTCTTTGGAAGTGGGAGGACAAGAAGCTGAAAGACTTTTCCCAAAGATCTGTGTACGAGGATTAATCCTTAGTCATTCAAGAAGGGACCCCAGAAATCTCAGTGAGAGTCAGGCTACAGAAGGTAGATCACCAAAAATGTGCTAGCTGAACTTTAGTATTCTCTCCTGAACAGTATTTCCTAGCAAAAAGATCAAAACCCTTCACATTTCCCTACAGAATGCAGAAGTCAGCAATTTCAATTCCTTTCAGTGACTCCTGTCCTGGTCCCAAATGGTCTGTAGGTGTTACATTTTCTTCCCTAACTGCTGCAGGGCATTTCCCCTCTGGGTGTGCTGAGCCCCTGCAGGGAGCCTGCAAAGGCAGCTTGTGGGCAGGATGCCAATGCTGATTGACAGGTGCTGTAGATGTGCTCATCACAAGGAACAACTTGCAAGGAAACGACACCAAAATAACACTTGTGTTGTTAAGTGGTGGAAAAGACAAGGGAAAAGGCCTGTGGAAGGGAAGGACAGTAGGACAGTCCCGTGTTGCCACAACATGTCAGGATGTGCTAGAGCCACTCTGCTCCCTCCTGAACAACCTGGCTGTTCTTCACTGAACAGCCAGTTCCACTTCACACCAACACCCCTTCTCATCCTCTAATGCAGGGCAGGCTACCGCAACAACAAAATTTCATGTTACACCTGCTACTGAAGGCACTGTTAGTTCTTAACTTCCAAAATCCATGAAGCCACTGTTAGTTCTTAACTTCCAAAATCCATGAAGCCACCACAATGTGGAGCACAATGCTGAGTAAGTGTGATACAGAAATGCTCATGTTTGGAACCTCTCAAGTGTTCACTGATTCACAATCTGGTAGGCTGATTTGGTTTCCCCATTTCTCCTAGTCCTGGTTTGGTGTACAGCCAATCAGAGGCACAGTATATTGCACACTACAGCAGAAACGACATCTTTTGGGTTGCAATTCTACATTTCAAACAGTTTTCTTTCTGCTTCAAACCTTTGGTCCAGACTGATGCAAACCCAGCCTACATCAATGCATTGATGTCATTGGACCTCCTGCCTTTAAACCACTGGGTTGAGTTCCTTGCTTCCACATGGAAGTGGAGCAACCCTTCTGAAAGCCTCACATCTGCTACCATGAGGAGATGAGAGCACACACTGCAAAAAGGAAAACCCAGTTTGCATCTCAATATGTAAACAACTGCCAGCCCCAATTGTTTACAGCAATTGTAGGTACTTCAACCAATAAATCTGGAATACAGATTCATTTAAGAACTGTGTTCTTAATTCTACCAGGTTTAAAAGCACTAGTTTCTGAAAAATGTCTTTACAAAACCTAATGAAATATTTATGCTGTTAATACTGGAGAAGTGATTCATTGAAAATTGCCTCATTATTTCCAATACAAAAATATTCACTTTGAGCTTTAACATTCTAAGCTAATATTTCTTCTTGATTAAAGTTGATATTTTTAATTTTTTTTCAAAAGTCATTCTTACTGGCAGGAAAAATGCTCACATCAGTTTTATAGTGTGTTTTAACTGCACATGAAAGGAAAAAAAACCACCTGCCTGTTCAGTAATGTATTTCCCTTCATCTCACCTGAACTTTAATGAATGCTTCAGATTGCATACAAGACTGTGTCCTTCACATAATAATTGTGAAAATAATTGTGACAATGTGCAACAATGCCAGAAGTTTTCTCAGAACTTTGCTGTGACAGATGATTAATGAAATCAGACTACATTATTTAGAAAAAAAAAATAAATATTGTCAAGTTATATACTAGCCATGCTTCTAGCAGGTAGCTGTGAAATAAAGTTGTTGCTTTTTTAAACAATTCTTGGTATCAGTTCCCATCAGTTTTAAGATATACTCCTACCTACAGCCTGCCATAGCAGAACTCCATCGTGTGTCAAACATTCATTGAGAGTCTCCTGTTCCCTGTCCCCCTCTGCCCTGGAATCCCTCAGTGCTGCAGCCCCTCAGACTCAGGGGCCTAGCACTCTATATATATATATATATATATATATATACACACATCCACTCTCTCTATATATATGTATAGTCCACTATAACGAACCATTTCTTGCACAATCAAAAGAAATCTTGGGCCATACGTGTGTGAATTTAAGTGGGGGTCTCCATTTATGCCAGTGGGAATTATGTTCAGCAACTGCCCATCCTTTATGATCACACAGTCTGTTAGTAACAGGAAACACAGTTTTGTAAAGAAATGGAAAAACATTGAAGACAATCTGAGATGCAATAAAAAATATTACTACGCACCCCAGGCTGCAGGAAGCCAGTCAAAAATGAACTTCTTATTCCTTGGAGTTACATATGCAGACACTTCAAGCAAATTTTGTAAGATATATTTTTGCATACTTATTTCTGTACAAATGAAAACTGAACGACAAATTAGAAAAAAAATTAGTAGACAATATGAAAATGTACTCTTTAGTAGAAGAGACATTTAAATATTATACATGGGGTTGGTTAGGGGTTTTGAAGCCAGGTTTGCTTAACATGTAATTAAAGTTTAAAATATAGAGAATTTTTAGGAAGTCCACAAGTACCAGGTGAAATAAATGGGTTTTTTTAAAGATATCTGTGTAGAGGAAACACTGGACAGCTTCTTCCATGAACAAACATGTCTTCATCCTCAGTGCACCTGTTTTTTTCCTGTGGATATTTTGTAGAAATAGAAGAGCTGAACATACTTAGAGCAAAAAGCAGCTCTTCTGTGAATTATTTTTAAAATCTGGTTAAATTTCACCCTATACTACAAAGAACTGCCTCCATATTGCTCAGCTCAAATAGAGGAATCCCAAGAGTAGGGGTGCCTATGTTAAGGCAAAAGCTTCCTTTGGCAAATCAATGCCTCTGGCCTGGAAATAGTACTTTCTAAAAACTTGTTGCGAGTGAATTCCATCACAGGAGGGACTTCCACAAAGATTTCACATGGAAAGTTTTACTTAACAATATATAGGGAGTGAGCTAAATATTGAACTACCTAATGATACTCATGCTTCCCCACAGGAGGAAGCTGCACTGGCATTGACTTTACAAATGTATAGCTGAGTCAGGGACATTTTTACTTTGAAGAATGGGTACTGTGGCACCATTTCAGAATTCCAGTCAAGAACTGAGACTTGCTCTGTGTGTATGTATAATACAAGATGGACTGTGCACTAAATACCTCATGAATGGTGAGATGGAAGACAAAAGCCTAAAAATTTGGGATGAGTGGAAGTTGAAAGACATGCTGATGATAAGGAAGAAAGCACTGAGTTTTTATTACTAACACATGTTTTGGGAATGTGCTACCCTAATTCTGCTTTTAGCCATTGCAAAGTCCCTGCAGTTAAGAATGCCACTCTAGTTCCAAGCTCAAAAACAACTCTGGGCCTGTCAAAACAGGGTGATATGATTAGAAGAATTATAGAAGCACAGCACCTGTAGCTTCAAATACTACAGAAAGTCCTTTCAGAAAGATAGAGGATGATTTCCCACAAATAGTTCATTAGAATTTCACACTGAGTTTCAACAGTGAAACACATATCTGTACAATATACAAGACACATTAAATGAAGCAAGCATTGTCATCCCTAAAGCTCCCACAATAACGTGGTTCTAGAATGACAGTGATAACTGGACAGATGGAGCAGATGTAGCACTGATACTACAAACAAAAGTATTTCAGGTTTGCACTGCACTGTTCAGGGGGATAAAGATTGATGAGCAGACAAAACTCAGCCTCTAAGAATACACCAAGCTCTGAGCATCTAAGCTTCGGCTGATCTGGAGGCCTAATAGAAACAATAATTATTTAATGGGAGGGGGCATGAAATGCCCACATCAACAAAGTCCAGTACAGAAGGTGGCTCAGAGCCATTACCTGACCAGCATCAAAAAGTCAGTGGGAGGAAATATTTGGGAGCAATAATCAAACCCAAGTCAAACTGTCAAGTTTATATTTCATAAATGTCACTGAAGCATTTGTAAAGGAAAGCTATTAAAAGAAATCAATGATTTACTGAATAGTAGTTGTGTTTGAGAAGTCCCAACCAGCATGGATATTATCTGCTTATCAAACTGCACTCAGACAGAATTTTTAATGATCAAACTTTCCCATCACCTCAACTCACTCCCCAGAAGGCTTTGGCAGATAATCAATAGACAGACAGCTGTCTGTGCACTACACAGAATTTACTCTGCTGCCTTCACTACTACAGTAAACTGAAATTCCCAACCTCAACACTGCACACTCCCAAGAAACAAAACCAATGCAGCATTAGATAAAATTTTCCCAGCAACAATATTCCTAGTTATAAATAAAGGTATCAATAAACATTCATGTCCCATTTGCACAACAAAATCTAAGAGAATGGGGAATACAGGGGATTACAATTAACCATACTGATCAGAAGCAGAGATTGATACCATGACATGATTTTTAAGTGCTCACTACCTACATACTGCACTGAAGAGCTTTGCAGGGCTTCAGTTTCAATTCTTAGTAACTTTTGGTAACATGAGCACAGATATTTTATGGTTGGTGTGGCTTTGTTCCTCTTTATGAGCATTTATTACCATTTAATAATTTCCTGCATACTAATCCTTTATTTTTTAACTATATCATCATATGCAGAAGAAAATAAAGTACAATGCTGCATAGAAGAAACAAAATTGGAAGAGAAATGGCTGTTAAGTATACTTTTACCTGAATTACTGCAATGTCATGACCCACAAAAACAAATCCTATGCCATTAGCACGGAAGCATCAGTTGCACCCTATTCTGCCATTCCTGTTGTACTGTATTCCCCTTCCCACCTCAGCTTTAGGCAATCTTTCACTAATCCAAGCTCTCTATGTCATATAATCACATGGCTTATTTACATCTAATTCCTGTTTCAGCATGGAAAACCCACTGCTGTTAGCAGTGCAGGTGAGACAGTGTCTGCCTGAAGTTTATAGCTAACACATTAGGGTAAGATAGCACATCATTTAATTAACAACTGTATTCATAGTTGTTACACACATAAACTTGCCACTTAATGGTAAGGAATATTCACACAGTATTAACTTGACTATATGCTGGACAATAACTAATTCTACTGGCTGAGTAACATGACTTCATATCTTAGGTTGAATCCACTTTCGGCTCGCTGATACAGACCTAATGTAATTCACACGAGGCTAATATAATAATTAACACCATTCATTACCTTTAAAGAGGCTAAATATACAATTAAGAACCCATTCCTGAGTGCCAGTGTTCAAAGGAGAGACTTGCTGAGGACACACAGTGTGTTCCAGCCAGCCTCCAGGGCAGGAAGCAGGGCAGCTCGCAGGGCAGGAAAGGCAGAGGCTGTGACGGTGCCCGGGGAGGAACGGCAGCGAGGGACAGACACAGAGACGGACACAGGGACAGGGACGGGCACAGCGACGGACACAGGGACAGGGACGGGCACAGCGACGGACACAGGGACGGACACAGGGACAGGGACGGGCACAGCGACGGGCACAGGGACGGGGACGGACACAGGGACAGGGACGGACACAGGGACGGGCACAGGGACGGGCACAGGGACGGGGACGGACACAGGGACGGGCACAGGGACGGCAGCTCCTGCAGCACAGCCCGCTCCCCAAACACGCCTTCGTTCCTGTTAATGCCTTTTTATTCTTCTCTGAAAGCTGCTCAGTTGTCGAAAATAACTCCTATCAAAGCTATTCATTAGCCGTTCGGAAGAATCCTAAGATACAAGCGATGGCAGCAGGCAGCAGGGAGCCCGCCAGCCCTCCCTGCTGGAAATCCGGCGCCAGCTGCTGCGGGGCTCGCCTGGTTTTCCCCTTCCCTCCCCGGGCTCTGCTCTGCCAGGTCCCCTCCGCAGCAGCACCCTCCAGCTCACAGGCTGCTGCACCGCAGCAGCACCGCAGCCCAGCCTGCAGCCTCTGCACCCCGCCGCAAACACGCCTGATTCCCCTGCAGCCCTGCTCTCCTCCTTTCTTTACCTTCCCAACCTCCTCTCCTCTTCTGCCTTTTCCCCCAGACCCCTCTATCCCCCACAAGTGAACAAAAGGCCATTCAGCACATCACCAGGGCTGAGATTAACTCAACTGCTCTGCAAGAATGCACCGTAATTATTTCCCAAATTTGTACATAAAATACACTCCTTACTGTAACTGGAAAGAAAATATCATTTACTGGTCGTTTCTTTAGCACATGAAACTGCCAGGATTGTGATAAAAGTAGTGTAACATTTGGGGCAGAAAATCCACTAATAAGTAATTCCTAGAGTAGGAGTTTCAGATATTTGGTGAGGACATAGCATATAAAACACTTTATTTAAGATTTACAAAATCTGTTATTGTTTCCAGATAACATAAGATTAAAAAATAAAATCCCATCATTTAAAGCCCACAAAAATCTAGAAGCTTAGATTATTTTCACATCAGCATTCTCATTTATGGTATACAATCACACTTGTTTTTACAGCCATTGAAAATAAAACATTCCTTCCATGACTTGAAACCAGCTCTTTTTCGAGCATACAAGAGACACCATAAACTGGATTAAAGCAAACGTACACAACTTTGGAACCCATATGTCAAACTTACAAAGTTTAAGAAAGTTAGTTCTCTGAGGACTAGAACTCCAATACATTATAAAACTTTTTCCATGTGAACCATTTATGCAAAAAGACACTAAAGAACAACTTTAAAGCTGACATAAAAAGAAAAACATGGAATGAGGTCCATTTCTAGTGCTATTCCATTCAGTTACACCACGGGTCAACTTGTCCCATGATCTGTAGAAATATTGTCGTGATTCAGCACAGTTAAAAATACCAAAAAACCAACTTTTTAATTAAAGCATTAAATACACTAGATAAACTAGGAAACAATTGTCAGAAATGTTTCAAATTAAAGTATAATTTCCACCGGTATTACATAAATTCATTCATCTTAAATACCTTTTGACTTTATGTTCTGAGAGCAAATTTATTTTGTCAAATGACTGCAAGATGCAAACAAGAATGAGCTATTATAATGCCAATATTACCTTAGTCAAGCAGATTAACTCTTGCTAATCATTAAATTACACATCTGGCCTGCTGCAGACTGAGGCGTCACCAAGTTCTAGTTAGCTATCTGGAAGTGCTCGGGGTGGTAGCTGAACACCCTGTGCGCGTAGGGCTCGCCGTCGCCCGCGGGTTTCGGTGCCGGGTAGCGGTGGTAGCTGTTGCCGTGGAAGTGCTCACAGTGCAGGCCGAGCCACTCTCGCTCAGTGCTGAACCTCTCGGCCTCGGCCAGGATCCTGGTCAGGGCCATGATGTAGCTCAGAGCCATCTGCAGGGTCTCGTACTTGGACAGTTTCTTGTCCTGCCCCCACTGCGGAACCACCTTCCTCAGGCGGTCGAAGGCCGTGTTGAGGCCCTGCATGCGCCGCCTCTCGCGGGCGTTGGCAGCCAGCCTCCTCCTGGCAGCGTTCTCCATCCTCTCCGAGCCGCACCGCACGGCACAGCCCGCTCCGCTCCCGCACCGCGCGCCCGGCTCCACGCCCGAGGCCAGCTCACTGGAGTTACAGGTTTTCATGCAGCTTCGCTTTCACACGCACAGAGATCACCTAGCAAAATTTCGCTTTCTAAAAAGTGGTAAGGAAAGCACTCATGGAGTAGCCTTCGTACCACTTGAATCCTGATATCAATTATGGGGTATTTTTCTTGCCTTCTAAAAAAGAAATATAATAAAATAGAAGTTCTTCTGGAAACATCTGAAAATTTTCTTATCGTTGAAAGAAAGAAGGAAGCATTTTTTTGCCTTATGCTTTCATTCTTTAAATTTCTTAAATCTCAAAAAGAGAGAGAAAACAATGAAATCCCCATTCTCAAAATGTATGTTACGAAGAAAACGGTCCGTTGAACCCGAGAAGGATCTTACTGGATTAAAGGCACAACAACTCCAAATGGCTGTTTCCAGTGAGAGAAGTCCTGATTCAGCCGAGGAGGGGATTTTGCGATGCTGAAGGGCTGTGCTCTGAAGCCGTGACCTCCCAAGAGAGATCTCTCTCCTGGCTCTGCTGGCCAGCAAGGATTGTGTGGAGCGGACCAGACGAGGCTTTATAGGAACGGCAAGAGCTGAACAGGTGGCAGCAGGTGGGCGGGCGGCACGCTGCTGCCATCCCAGCACCTTCCCACCCTGGGAACTACAGGGGGAAAAAGCCAAACAGCAAAATCCCAACATTACAGCCTTCATCTGCTGAGAAGTCTTCCAAAGCCATTCTGTCCAGCCCTAACAACTTGCCATCTGGAGTAGTGTCTGGCTGGCCCCACAAGACTCTGGGCAGTTAAGCAAAAGACCCTTTCAATGGATAATCTGTTGTAACTCAGGGGGGGAAAAAAATCTCTGTGCATTGTAGCATTTGTACATTAAAACATGTGAAAATTCAGGCTAAATATTGAGGATAGAAGAATAACTGCATTAATCAAACAGGAGAAAGAGATAAAAGATACACAGCCAAGAATGCCAGAGTTTTGCACATATGGTACCAAAATAAGTAAACTCAAATTATTAGAAACCCCTCAACCTTCACAATTTTAATGTTGTATAAAGCACACAACATTGCAACCAGAGTAATATCTTAAGAAAAAAGGGGATTATATATTTGCCTGTCAGCAAACTCAAAGTCATTAGAATAATTTAAATACATTTAAACAGTTAAAATGTAGCAATAGATTTATGCAATGATTGCAAACATATTTAGATGGGTTATGATAGTTATACACAAAAAGATGTAAGCATACTAATCATCTGAAAATTGCCCTTTTTAATACACCCTATTAAAGTATATATGTGTATTTGACATGAATTAAAGGTGTATTTTTAGTAATATCTCTAAATAAGTGACAAGAATAAAAGAGAATGTGAAAAACAAAACTGCTTTCTGGCAGCAAGGGATCAATTCTGCTATAACTGAGATGCCAGAGGAGCCACAATATACACACACCCCTGCCCCATAATAACAACATCTTTCTTTTACTGTACTTGTATTGTACTAAAATCACAACTACATAAACTTACAAGGAAATATCACATGATCTTTTTATGATGTACACAAAAGGAAAAAAAACCCCTGCCACACAATGATTTATTATCTGTATTGATTTCAAACTTAATTAAATTGTTACCAGCATTCATAAATTAGTAACTTTTTTCATCAGAGACTGAACACTGTATATTTATTTAGAACTATAGCTCAATTGTTTTCATCATGACTCCAAAACTTGGTGTAGTTGTAAACAGCTGATTAATCCCTAGCAAAAGCAATGCCAATGAAATGAGGTTGAATAATCCAAAAACAATAGGATGCAATTGAACACTAATGGACTCCAGCATGACAGATGTTGGACGTCGGCTGTTACGCCCAGTTGCTCTGCTCTTAATATTCCGCATCCTAATGATCATGAGCAGAGATGATAGTTGGGGTAGGGAGTCTCCATTATCCCATTATCAAAATGTATGCCACTTCTTCAATTTTTAAAGAAGTGCAACTTGGTCACATTTCATTAGAAATGTTCCACTTGGCTATCTGTGTGCGCTGACCTGTTCTCCAACCATAAAGAGCCACTGCCACTTGCTAAAGTGCCACTTTCTGACCTGTGTGAGAACAGCTCCCTCCAAAAACCCACAGAAACATATGTCTTCCCTAAAGGATCAGCAATTAGAGCTTGTGAGATTTCTGTTTCTGAAGATGCTCCATGGGAAGCACTGCATGTGCAGTAGAGAAGATCCCCATCTGATCTTCGTGCTACTGCTAAAGCATATTTCAGTGCTCCTGCAGCCTTCTATCCCTAATAAGTCTGTTGGTTAAACCCTATGTCTCTTACAATGAATGTCAACGATTTTTCATGTAAAAGAACACCAGAGAATTAAGGTGTTCTGTAAGTTAATAAATACTGTGTGTTCTTATGAAAGAGCTGCTAGTCAAGTCAGGTAGTTAATCACTCTTCATCTTAAAGAGTGCTGCTAACATCATGCCATAAACACAAAAAGCTCCAATTTAAAATAGAGTACTGTATTTTTTCACTCAGCAGCAGTTTTCTTTTTTTAACCTAATATAAATTATAGTATAAATTATAATGAAGATTTCAAATATATTGAAAATCACAGTGCTTCAAAAATTTTGTGTTCTCCTTCACTAATGCACAGTAAGCCAGTACACAGCAGTGCTCTTAATTCTCCCTCCCTAATTGATTCACCACCATCATCATGCTTTGACTAACATCCTGCTGTAATCTCAGGAGAGAAGCTGTGATTTATCTCTCCTACTGAACACGCTGTAAACTTCTGCTTAAATGATTTACTATCAAATCACAGGACAAGAGCCCAGATCCCTTTAGACTAATAATAGGATTTTATAGCTCATAGGCAAAGCTAAAAAATGCTGGCTTATCAAAATACCTGGTTTTCATCACTTAAAATTTTGTAAAGTTCCTGCTTTATGAAAGCGAAATAAAAAATGTATCAAGGTCTTATTCATACAAGCTAGTTAATTTGCACATCCCCACTGCATAGCCTTATCATAGTGTTACCTCAAACTAAAAAATAATCTGCTTTATTGCTCAGTGAGTAAGAGAAAGGGTATCAATGGGAATTTTCACAGGTTTCCTTCACTCAGTTTGATTTCCTGTATATTTCAGCTTGTCTTAATTAGTTCTTATGTAATCTTATTCCCTCCTCTCTTTACTTTTAATAATTCCTCATATATATTACTATTTAAAATATTTTTACATTATTATCAATATTTTTATTACATTTTATTTTTAAAAGATACTATATATCCTGATGTGATAAATTGCTGTGGTGCTAAAACTTTTTCTTAAATCCTAACTTATATTAGTTTAATGGGTTTCATTTCCCAAAAAATTCCCTTTTACTCTTTTTTTTCCTCATAATCTTGAGGCAGAAAAACACCAACATCACCAGAAAGAAGTTCTGTGTCTACCCAGTTGCTCAAATTTCAATCTTTGATTCTCTAACTATGCAGGTACCAACGTAGTGTTACTCCACGATCCTTGCAGCATTATTCCTGTGTCATATTTTAATTCTAAACCAGTATCATTAATCAAAATATTATGTTTCACTCAGAGAAAAACAAGAGACAGATAAGAATGCTATTTCAGTCATAAACCAGATTATTTTAGCAACTTCAAGTCACCACCAATATTAGGGAAATTAAGGAGAGGTTCAGTCCATTAAAGAAATTAGGTAGTTTCAGGATTTATGACTACATACATAAACCCATTCCAAATTGTCTGCTAGGTATCCAAGTTAAAAACTCAGATGCAATTAGTGCAGCACCCACTAAGAGATGAATGCCTTTCACCGGTACTACTATGAAAAACACGATCTAATTACTTTTATTACTTTTATTGGGGATTGACTGGGACCAGATATAAATTTAAAATGAAGTGAAAGCAATATTTCTGGTTAAACTCTAATTCCTCCCTACTTTCTCTACCTATATTTACAAAAACATATACAAGCAATGTATCAAAACAAGAATCTTACCTCTCCCTTCTAGGCAGAACTATTTCCTCCCAGGTAGGACCTTTCTAAAAGGCTCAGGACTCCTCACCCTGCCGTTCACCCTGAGCAAAGCAGAAGGGATGGCATGCTGCATGCTGCCTAATTAAGAGCAGGTGGGTAACTACCAAAGCATGGCCATCCTTAAGGACCCCACTTCTTGCAACACTTGACTCAGCTCACAAGACAGGCTGGAAATCCATGGTGTGCAGAATCACTTCTTTTCCTGCCTTGGTTGTTTGCATTGTTGTCCCTGTCACAGCTACAGAAGGATCCAAACCCAACAATTCACTAGAGAATGTTGTATCCTGCAGGGACAGTTAGTAACTAACACTGGAAATGGAATAACAATAACAGCTGCGGGAGGAGTTTGCAGTCATTTCACCTGGGGCTTCCCACCCTGGCACTGGACACCTTTTCCTATAAAGTAACAGAGCAGTTCCCTTTCCTCCTCAGGCTCTCTGGGCTGAGCTCTCCTTCCCAGCAGCCAGGTAACTGTCCCAGCTGCACCTCAGGCTCTCTCTGCCATCCCAGTTACCACTCCTCAATTCACCATTTCTCTTCTGTTTCACATTATCCTTCTCACCTCTCCTTCCCAGCAGCCAGGTAACTGTCCCAGCTGCACCTCAGGCTCTCTCTGCCACACCACCTCCCAGTCACTACTTCTCAATTCACCATTTCTCTTTTGTTTCACATTATCCTTCTCACCTCCTCCAGGTGAGCCTCAAAAAAGACTCAGGGGGCTTTTTTGAAACAGGAGGTCAGAAACCTCTTAAAAAAACAAAAAAGGAGAAAAGAGTCCTCTTACCACATTACTAGAGGAATGTGTCTTGAACTGTTCACCTAACATTATATATTGAATATTGAATTTGGCTACATTAGTTATCTTTGTATACGCACACAATAGATGATGAAAGAAGTTTCCACCTAGAATGATACTGCAACCCACTGCCCCACAAGAGCAGCAAAAAAGCTCTGATGTATTACAAAGCTAGTGAATTTTCCAAGTA